AAAACCCCAAATAATCCCATTAAAAAGTGGACAAAGGACATGAACAGATGTTTCCCAAAAGAAGTTTCTCATTTTCATATAAATGTTTACCATTCAAAATCAACTTTGTACAGAGCAGACAAGAACATCTGAATTCCACTGGGAAAAGAAATGAATAGATTAGAAGGGCCAATATTTGATTAAAAACGTGAAAGTGCTTAATTGAAAACTGAGACTAAAGAAAATATTTCTGATGTGTAAAAAAGGATGCCTTGGATGGCGGGTGATTATGTTGATTTCACTGTTATTAAGGATCCAGGACCCAGACAATCATCCTCCTGCTCAGGTAAATTGCCTGGGGGGCAAGCATTAATAGCTAGCTGGCTGACAGCATCTCAGCTGACGCTCAGGGAAGAGGGAGCCCCTGACCAAGAGTGGTGCTCCTGAAATGAGGAGCAAGAGCTGGGAATCAAAGCTTTTTATTCCACAGTTAACGTAAAAGGCATTTGTCTGAAAGAGTGCACTCCATATAATGTTCAGTTGAAAATGAAAATCAGATCCTTTTCAGTTTTGAAATGAAGTAGACTAGATCAATTAAGATAAAGTAAGGCATTGAAGAAAGGTATATATTAGGGAGAAGGGGATGGAGAAGAGAAATAAAGAGAGGCGGTGGGTCAGATGATAATATAGTCTGCCTCACGACTTCACACAGGCCCTGCCCTGCAAGTCTTCTTGTATATATAGTGGTGGGGCGGTCGTGGGAAGGTGGAGGATGAGGGTGGTAGATAAAGTGAAAGGAGAAAAATCACCTATTTCACTTTTTATGTCAAGGATTGTATTTTAGGGGTAGGAGAGGGAAAGGCTTGAGAAGGGATAACACATAGACAAATATTTTTCATCTCTTTTTTAGTTCTGTGGTAGGTTGTGCCTTTTGGTTTCAAGTCATAAATTCTCAGTATAAGCAGAAGATTTCATAAGTGACACATGGTTAGGTAACAAGAGCCAATATTTTACACAGAAAATCTGGGACTTTCGGTTACCATGAGCATTTCAAGAGAATGAATGAGCTCCAGAGCTAAATGTTGTCATCTTATAACAGCTGAGCACAGCAGGAAGGGTGTTAGTATGGTGTATGTGAGTGAGGAATCAGAAATTCACGGATCCCAAGGTCTCTTTTTAGGCATTTTCCCCCAGTCACCCTCTCCATGTGATTTTAATACTATGGATATACTGTATATCTGTTTCTACAATGTGTGCATGTCTGTGCTTTATATGTAAAAAGAAGAAAGATATTTTTGCCCCCAAAATTCATTTTGACCCTGTGGGAGTGGTAATGTCCCTGTTGAGAATACATGTTCTAGATGAAATCTTGGTATTTCATGCAATGTTATATAATAAAAATTAATAATCATAAAACAGTTTTTATCCACTGTTGTGTCATTTATGCTTTTAAAAACCTGTTTCTTCCCCTCTAGGAGTTGGCAGTTTGCAGATCTAGATAGTCATTTGGCCAGATTCTCTGGTCCCTGCTGGGTTGGAGAATGGAGTGCAGAAATTCCTAGGGAAACCACTAATTGTCTTACCTCTTCCAAACCTTCTGCCTTCGATGGGGAGGGTTAAAAACGCTCTCTGTATCTGCTCTAAGTTTATTTATTTAGTTTTAGATTTTTAAGCAGCTTATTGAGATATAGTTCACATACCACACAATTCACCCCTTTAAAACACACAGTTCAATGGTTTTTAGTCACTATGGTCAATTTTAGAGCATTTTCATTACCCCAAAAGGAAGCCCTGTACCCAGGTGAAGTCACTCTAAATTTCTCTCCAACCCTCTTCCGCCAAGCCCCCAGCACCCAGCCTTAGGTGCCCACTGCTCTACTTTCTGTATCTGTAGATACGCCTATTCTGGACACATCATATGCACAGAAGCATGCAATACGTGAACTTTGTGACTGGCTTCTTTCGCTTAGCTTAATGTTTTCAAGGTTCATCCACAGTGTAGCATGCATCAGTACTCCATTCTTTTTTATGGCTGAATAGTATTCCATTGTGT